CATGAAGGTGACATGGATGGCAGCATGAAGGTGACATGGATGGCAGCATGAAGGTGACATGGATGGCAGCATGAAGGTGACATGGATGGCAGCATGAAGGTGACATGGATGGCAGCATGAAGGTGACATGGATGGCAGCATGAAGGTGACATGGATGGCAGCATGAAGGTGACATGGATGGCAGCATGAAGGTGACATGGATGGCAGCATGAAGGTGACATGGATGGCAGCATGAAGGTGACATGCATGGCAGCATGAAGGTGACATGGATGGCAGCATGAAGGTGACATGGATGGCAGCATGAAGGTGACATGGATGGCAGCATGAAGGTGACATGGATGGCAGCATGAAGGTGACATGGATGGCAGCATAGGGTGACATGGATGGCAGCATAGGGTGACATGGATGGCAGCATGAAGGTGACATGGATGGCAGCATGAAGGTGACATGGATGGCAGCATGAAGGTGACATGGATGGCAGCATGAAGGTGACATGGATGGCAGCATGAAGGTGACATGGATGGCAGCATGAAGGTGACATGGATGGCAGCATGAAGGTGACATGGATGGCAGCATGAAGGTGACATGGATGGCAGCATGAAGGTGACATGGATGGCAGCATGAAGGTGACATGGATGGCAGCATGAAGGTGACATGGATGGCAGCATGAAGGTGACATGGATGGCAGCATGAAGGTGACATGGATGGCAGCATGAAGGTGACATGGATGGCAGCATGAAGGTGACATGGATGGCAGCATGAAGGTGACATGGATGGCAGCATGAAGGTGACATGGATGGCAGCATGAAGGTGACATGGATGGCAGCATGAAGGTGACATGGATGGCAGCATGAAGGTGACATGGATGGCAGCATGAAGGTGACATGGATGGCAGCATGAAGGTGACATGGATGGCAGCATGAAGGTGACATGGATGGCAGCATGAAGGTGACATGGATGGCAGCATGAAGGTGACATGGATGGCAGCATGAAGGTGACATGGATGGCAGCATGAAGGTGACATGGATGGCAGCATGAAGGTGACATGGATGGCAGCATGAAGGTGACATGGATGGCAGCATGAAGGTGACATGGATGGCAGCATGAAGGTGACATGGATGGCAGCATAGGGTGACATGGATGGCAGCATAGGGTGACATGGATGGCAGCATAGGGTGACATGGATGGCAGCATGAAGGTGACATGGATGGCAGCATGAAGGTGACATGGATGGCAGCATGAAGGTGACATGGATGGCAGCATGAAGGTGACATGGATGGCAGCATGAAGGTGACATGGATGGCAGCATGAAGGTGACATGGATGGCAGCATGAAGGTGACATGGATGGCAGCATGAAGGTGACATGGATGGCAGCATGAAGGTGACATGGATGGCAGCATGAAGGTGACATGGATGGCAGCATGAAGGTGACATGGATGGCAGCATGAAGGTGACATGGATGGCAGCATGAAGGTGACATGGATGGCAGCATGAAGGTGACATGGATGGCAGCATGAAGGTGACATGGATGGCAGCATGAAGGTGACATGGATGGCAGCATGAAGGTGACATGGATGGCAGCATGAAGGTGACATGGATGGCAGCATGAAGGTGACATGGATGGCAGCATGAAGGTGACATGGATGGCAGCATGAAGGTGACATGGATGGCAGCATGAAGGTGACATGGATGGCAGCATGAAGGTGACATGGATGGCAGCATGAAGGTGACATGGATGGCAGCATGAAGGTGACATGGATGGCAGCATGAAGGTGACATGGATGGCAGCATGAAGGTGACATGGATGGCAGCATGAAGGTGACATGGATGGCAGCATGAAGGTGACATGGATGGCAGCATGAAGGTGACATGGATGGCAGCATGAAGGTGACATGGATGGCAGCATGAAGGTGACATGGATGGCAGCATGAAGGTGACATGGATGGCAGCATGAAGGTGACATGGATGGCAGCATGAAGGTGACATGGATGGCAGCATGAAGGTGACATGGATGGCAGCATGAAGGTGACATGGATGGCAGCATGAAGGTGACATGGATGGCAGCATGAAGGTGACATGGATGGCAGCATGAAGGTGACATGGATGGCAGCATGAAGGTGACATGGATGGCAGCATGAAGGTGACATGGATGGCAGCATGAAGGTGACATGGATGGCAGCATGAAGGTGACATGGATGGCAGCATGAAGGTGACATGGATGGCAGCATGAAGGTGACATGGATGGCAGCATGAAGGTGACATGGATGGCAGCATGAAGGTGACATGGATGGCAGCATGAAGGTGACATGGATGGCAGCATGAAGGTGACATGGATGGCAGCATGAAGGTGACATGGATGGCAGCATGAAGGTGACATGGATGGCAGCATGAAGGTGACATGGATGGCAGCATGAAGGTGACATGGATGGCAGCATGAAGGTGACATGGATGGCAGCATGAAGGTGACATGGATGGCAGCATGAAGGTGACATGGATGGCAGCATGAAGGTGACATGGATGGCAGCATGAAGGTGACATGGATGGCAGCATGAAGGTGACATGGATGGCAGCATGAAGGTGACATGGATGGCAGCATGAAGGTGACATGGATGGCAGCATGAAGGTGACATGGATGGCAGCATGAAGGTGACATGGATGGCAGCATGAAGGTGACATGGATGGCAGCATGAAGGTGACATGGATGGCAGCATGAAGGTGACATGGATGGCAGCATGAAGGTGACATGCATGGCAGCATGAAGGTGACATGGATGGCAGCATGAAGGTGACATGGATGGCAGCATGAAGGTGACATGGATGGCAGCATGAAGGTGACATGGATGGCAGCATGAAGGTGACATGGATGGCAGCATGAAGGTGACATGGATGGCAGCATGAAGGTGACATGGATGGCAGCATGAAGGTGACATGCATGGCAGCATGAAGGTGACATGGATGGCAGCATGAAGGTGACATGGATGGCAGCATGAAGGTGACATGCATGGCAGCATGAAGGTGACATGGATGGCAGCATGAAGGTGACATGGATGGCAGCATGAAGGTGACATGGATGGCAGCATGAAGGTGACATGGATGGCAGCATGAAGGTGACATGGATGGCAGCATGAAGGTGACATGGATGGCAGCATGAAGGTGACATGGATGGCAGCATGAAGGTGACATGGATGGCAGCATGAAGGTGACATGGATGGCAGCATGAAGGTGACATGGATGGCAGCATGAAGGTGACATGGATGGCAGCATGAAGGTGACATGGATGGCAGCATGAAGGTGACATGGATGGCAGCATAGGGTGACATGGATGGCAGCATAGGGTGACATGGATGGCAGCATAGGGTGACGAGTGCGCTGCATGCATGCGTGCAGGGACGGGGTTGAGGGTGGAGGTGTGGCGTGAGTGTGCTTGCAGCGAGGTCCACAGCGTGGAGTGGCCCACAGGGAGGTCCTGGGACCACCTTGCGTTCCCATTCTCCTGCACCGCCTCGCACTAGCTACTCCCCTGCACCCGTTGTCTCTTGCTCTCTCCATTGCCTTTGAGCAGCCCAACCGCTTGTGCTTCCCATTCCTCTTTTACCTGCATTTCTTTCTGTCCCCTATCCCTTATTCGCACTCCCTTTTTCAACCGACCCTGATCCCTCACATGTTCCGCTCATCCTCTAGTACCCCTGTCGCTTAACCCCCTCATTCACCCAGCTTCACAATTCCGTCCCATCTACCCCTTTCCGTATCCTCTTCGTACCTAATCTCCTTTGTCCACTTGTTCTCCCATCCCCGTGATTCCAGCTTCTCTGCCTCTGCCATCCGCGTGTATCTGCAATACCCCGGTCGCGCAGGTGTGGGACGTGCGCAAGTTCAAGCAGCCAGTGAAGGTGTTCACCGACCTGCCCAACCACTACCAGCAGACCAACGTGGCATGGAGCCCCGACGAGCGCCTCTTCTTCACCGGCTCCTCCGCTGAGAAGGGCGGGCGGGGTGGGCAGGTGGGTGTGGGGGGGAAGAGGAGAAGAATGAGCTGGGAAAGGTGGGGGGGGGTGAGAAGTGAGGTAGAGAAGGGTGAGATGAAGGAGAGAGAGAGGTCACCTATAGTTGACATGGGTAGGCGGAGAGAAGTGGGATGGTGGAGAAGATGTCAAGGGAGGCGCGGGTTATGCTGGCGCACGTGGAGACAGAGGTGCAGGAGGTGAGAGACGTGAGAGACGTGAGGGAGGTGAGAGTAGGATGAAGAGATGAAGTAGAAGAGTTTCATTAGAGGTGCGCCACGAGTGGGACGAGGTGCGCAACAGGATTGTTTCCCTGCACCTCCTCCAACTGGCCTTGCACCTCCTCCAACTGGCCTTGCACCTCTGCTCGCTTCATGTCATCCTCTCACCCCACTCCCTCGGCCACTCCGCCGTTTTATCTGCCTGCTCGAGCGTCCCCCGCACCTCTCCATCATCCTCTCACCCTGCTCTCTCACCTCTTGCACCTTCCTTCTTTGCCTGCTCCAGATTCCCCCGTACCTCTTATTTTCATCCCTAACTTGCACCTCCGTTACTCTTTTTTCCAGCATCCTCTCACCCTGCTCTCCTTCAGTGTCACCTCTTGCACCTTCGTTTTTTCCTGCTCTCGCTCCGCATGTACCTACTCCAACTTGGTTGGGTGGCTCAATGTTGTTGGGGATGGATTCCCGCCCATCCCTGTACCAGCCGCCCTGCAGTCTTCTGTTCGACTCAAAATGGGTAGATGGCTCAGAAGCTGAGGGTTGGCTCAAGGCAACCCTTGAATCAGGCGGTATCAGATTGATCAACAAGTCAACACTTGCACTTTGTTTCGTATTCTTATACAAAACAAATGGAACGGGTTCTTAACTTATACCAGAGTCAGGACGGGTAGCAGAGCACAGTCTAGCCTAATTCTTGAAGCTGCCTTACTCTACTAATGTTCCCACCCCCCACACCCCCCATGCCACGTGTGCGTGCATGACCCCCCATGCCGTGCAGCTGCACTTCTACTCCAAGGAGTCGCTGGACCTCGTGCGCGTCACGGGCGTGTCTTCCGACCAGAGCGTTGTGCGCGTGCTGTGGCACGCACGCCTCAACCAGGTGGGTGCTGTTATCTCTCAGCTCAACCAGATTCTTATTGGTATCCACAGCACTGTCAGCACTCTCAAGTGTGGATCTCCTCCCCTTCCCCTCCTCTCAAGTCCCATTCCCCATGTGGAGCTCGTCACAGCAGCCAACACCCGCCCAGTAAAACCCATGTCCCCAACCCCCATCTCACGCACATCAGTTTCCATCTGCCCCTCCCCTTCACGGATCCACCGCCACCCTCGCCGAATCCCCACCAGATATTCGCCACATGTGGCGACAAGAAGGCGGGCGGCACGCACATCCTCTACGACCCCACACTCAGCGAGCGTGGTGCCCTCGTGTGCGTGGCACGTGCCCCCCGCGCCGCACGCCCCGAGGACCTGTGTGCGCGCGTGGCGGCGCCCGCCATCCGCAACCCGCACGCGCTGCCGATGTTCCGCGACGAGCCGAGCCGCAAGCGGCAGCGCGAGAAGGCGCGCAAAGACCCCGTGGCGAGCCAGCGGCCCGACCTGCCCATGGACGGGCCGGGGCACGGCGGGCGCGTGGGGCAGACCAAGGGCACCCTGCTCACCCAGTACCTCCTCCGGGTGCGTGCTGCTGCCTGCTGCCGCGGCAGTTTTTGTTGCACATGCTGAGAACATGGGAATGGATTCTTGCGGTAGCTGAGATCAAGAGCCTGAGAACCAGGTGTGAGGGACCAATTCCTCATTTCTTCCTCTCCCCTCCCCAATCCCTCCCCAATCCCCACGTGTGTGTGCATGGCACGGGCAGGAGGGCGGGATGCTGAAGGAGACGTGGATGGATGAGGACCCAAGAGAGGCCATCCTCAAATACGCGGATGCGGCGGCCAACGACCCGCAGATCATTGCGCCCGCCTACGCTGCCACTCAGCCCACAACGCTGTTCCACGAGTCCGATGACGAGGACAAGGACTAGATTAGCCAACATTTGAGCAAAACCGGATGGTTCGTATCGTCAACAACAGATGGGAGAATCTCAAGTGTGTATGCCTTTGGTTTTGAATGGCATTTCTTGATACCGTCACCCCCCGGATATAAGCGCCACCCTCGGATAAGCGCCAGGCGCTTATAATTGGCATATGGTGCTTATATCCGCTCCTCAATTATAAGCCCATACTTTTGAGCTCACGGATTATAACCGCATACCCGTAGGTTACATAATATAAGCGCCACCCTTTTCGTTTCTGTTTTTTTATTTATCAAGGTTTTAATCTACCTACAAACGAACAAGTTCACTAAATCATTTTCATACAATGTCTACCGTACATCTCCTACATTACCTACATCTACTCTAGTCATCAGATGCGGTGGGGTCATCTGGGTCGGCCTCAGAGTCTGACTCAGGCTCTTCTACATTGTTGCAACAGAACCCGTCTGCTGCAATGTCATCATCCATCTCTACTTCGCCATCGAGCTCGTCCCGCCTGTGTTGCAGGCAGAGCTTGTCCTGGGACCCATCCAGGGCGTTGCTGATGCCGCAGGTGAGAAACGACCGTTGAATCAGTTCCTTGGGCACGGACTTCTAAGCCGAGGAGATCCACTTGAGCGTCAGCTCGGGTGGTGGCTTCTTGACATTGCCTGCCATGAAAAACAAGACAACCAGAGTCAGGTGGGTTCATACCGTAAAACCGGTAAACAAACAAACACATGTGCAGCCTGTCTCACCTTTCACCGTCAAGGTGTCGACTCCCTCGCTCTCGAACCACTCCTGGTAGAGCTGGCGAACGGCAGCCTTGAAGGAGCGATTCACCGCGACATCGAGGGGTTGAATCTCCGAGGTGCAGCCAGCTGGGATGACGGCGGGTACGATGTTCAACTCGCCGAACTTCTGCTTCACCTCCGCAGTCAGGTGCCCGCGGTACAAGTCCAGTACGAGCATCGCTTTGCGGGGGCGGACACCGAACTTCGGGTTGACGTACGGCTTGACCGTCCCGTCGAGCCATGCGATGACACCCTCCGCGTCCATCCAACTGTTGGGATGCACGGACACGACGACATCTGCACATCAGGTTACACACACTGTATATTAGTATAAAAACACAAGACATAAACATGTAGTAATTATACTCTAGGCTAGTGAAGCTTACCTGACGGGAAATTCCCTTTCGGGACGGTCTTCCTTTTGAAGAAGACCCACGCCTTCAGCTTCTACCCCGTGGCGGTGCAGGCGAGCATCACTGTCACTCGCTCCTTCTGATAGCCGCCGCTGCGGATGGGCACAGAGCGCGGGCCCACCTCCTCGACGGTGCGTTCGGCATGCATCTCAAGCCAGAGTGGCGTCTAGTCCTGGTTAATAATCCACTGCGGGTCGATCTTGTATTGGCGGCGGGTGTGTCGCACAAACTTCCAGAGTTCCTGACATCACCCTCGCAGTCTGGGAGTACGGATGGGAGAAGACCGAAAAAACACAGGATGGGTGACGAGACAGAAGAACAACGGTTGACGAGAACACACAACCACCACATGCAACAAAACCGTAAACGACAGTTTTAAAAACTCACTAGTCGCAAGCTTCTGGCCGACCCTGGTCTTTGCTCGGGTTGTCAGGTTCCAGCGGCGGCGAATGCGCTCAGTCCACCGCTGGGAGCCGGCCCACTTTTCACCTAGGTGCATTTCTTTCATCACCTCGTGCGACCACTTCTGCAGGCGTGCGACCGAGACGGCAAGACACTTTTTACGGTGGGCAAGAAACCTCCTGTAGACTTCCGCTTCCATGTCGCGGTACCACGAGCTCCGTCCGCGACCGTGAAGGCGCTTGCGAGCCCCATGCGCGCACTCCAGCTCAGACTTCCGGGTCTTCCACTCTGCGAGTGACCTTCGGGAGATGCCGGATTCGCGAGACATCAGCCGCACAATCATCTCCCCGGACTCAAGCTTCAGAGTCCACTGCAGCTACTCCTGGGAGGTATACGCGTTGCGCTTGTGACTTGTAGGCTTGTGCCTGAGGGAGGGAGGACAGGCATCGCGATTATCACGGGAAGGGTGGGGCCGTTTTTTATTAGGTGGGGGAAAGGTGGGAATAGGCAGGTGCTCGGGAAGACCGTCAGCAGCCCAGAACTCCACATCGTCTTCGGCACCAGTCGCGGATTCGTCCAACGGGCAATCAGCCGGGGTTCCCCAGCGTGGGGAGGGTGCGGAGGAAGATGCTTTGGCGCCGCTGCGGTCGGGCTCGGACAGGTAAGCGTCGAACGCCGAGTAGCCAGGAGGGAGGAGAAGCTGCAGAATCCCCTGACGTCGAACACCGACGACAGGCGGCTCAGGAGGGGACGGAGGAGCGGGAGGAACCGGAGGCGCCGGGGGAGTGGGAGGATTAGGAGGCATTGGAGGAGTGGGAGGAACAGGAGGCACGACTGGGTTTGTTGGAGGGACAGCCGCAGGGCGGCTCTGCCATTGCGAGTAGTCACGGGTGTTTCTATTTTCTCTAGCAGGAGGTTGGCGGCGGAACAGAAAATGCGTGCCTGGAAGGCCCGCCATGGCCACGGCAGGCCAAACGAAAGAAGAAAAGTGAGGAGAAAGTTGAGAATGAGGGCCGTATGAAGCCCTCGCCCGAGACCCCTCCAGTTTCGCGGCCCGGCCTCCTCTGCGGGGAAGGGGTGGCCACAGTCAAGATTCCCCGCAGAGGAGCTGAGCTGGTCAGCTCGTTGCCTCGGTGGCGGGGAATCTTGCTCTGGATGGGCACATCGTGGCTCCTCCAAGACGAGCCCTGGACCGCATGTAACCTTGATTGGGCAGTCGTGATGCGAAGTGCGTGTGCGCTGGCATGGGCCAGGTTCACGTTCGACTCAGGTGAATCCGCCTTTAAAAATGCTTCGATTTCGTATATTAAAATATTAATTTCATTATTGACAAAACATAAACGCCGGCGCTTATAAATTTACTCAATTATAAGCCCACCCCCCTTAAAGATCATGTTTTATTATACCCCCCCATGGGGGCATATCCGGGGGGTGACGGTACATGCTTCTGAGTGTGCATGCACCGCATTGTGAGAAGAGCAGCACAATAGCTTCCCCTCATCCCCTCCACCGTCAACCACCCACACTCCCACGAAACCCCTGCTGTGAGGCAGGGCGCATAAAAGAGTAAGAGCCACCGTGTTTCCCCATCCACACCTCACCCATCCCACTTCTCCACAACTCCCCATTCGCTGCACTCTGCGTGTTGCTGTGCTCCGCCGTGTACCTGCGTTCCATCCCTTCCCCCAATCTCATAGTGCAATCCATTGTCTTTTCAACCCATCGATTTTTATTGCTTTGTTTATTTATTGTTTGTTTGTTTGTTTGTTTGTTTGTTTGTTTGTTTGTTTGTTTGTTTGTTTGTTTTTTCATCTTTCTTTTCCTTCAGCCATAGTGAACGTTTGTTTGTTTGTTTGTTTGTTTGTTTTTTTTTTTCATCTAAGCAGCAGTCAAGGCCGCCATGGGTGCCTTGACAGTGCAGCCCGCACGACCTTGGACGTTCTGTGAGGCCGCGGAACTGAAGCGTCAACATGCACTCCCCTCACCTCCCGCTTTAGAGAGGCGCATGTGGGCCTCAGGATCAGTGTTGCTCCCTCCACTCGCCTCACCCTTGCTCCCCTTCTCAGTTTTGGGATGCGCGACGGCACGGCCACACTTGCTGACTTCGTGCAACCTGCAAGATCCAACAAATCTGCTTCCGAACCTGCAGCATCGGACGGTTCAGCATCAGAAGCTGAAGGTTCCTACAGATCCGCTTCCGATGCGGAAGCATCGGCCTGTTCAGCATCCGAAGCTGCAGCATTCGACGCTGCAGCATCCAACGCTTCAGGATGCGACGTTTCAGCATGTGACGCTTCTGTCAACGAGGTAACCTTCACGCGTACCAGTGGGACGGTCGGTGTCTCCCAGGCCCAACAAAGCGCGCCAGGACGCTAAGAGGGTAAGCTAGGTCTGGGCGAGTACAGGTCATCAGGTACATGACACAACCCACCAACTCAGGATATGGACTGCTGGACTCAAATGCTTGTCCGAAGATGAAGCCGTGAGCCCATGATCCACAGCAAGAGGGGTGAGCTGTACCTTGGAGAACGGGAAGCGAAACCGCGTGAGGATCTGTTCGACCATATGCGACTGCGTCAGCGTAATGGTGCGAGCTGCCCTGTCCCTGGTGATCTGCAGGCCAAGGTAGCGCTGCAACTCACCAAGGTCAGTGCAAGTGTGTCTCCTCTGCAGTTCCTCCTTCACGGAGGCCAGTGCGCGTTGGTCAGGAGTGGCGAAGATCAGGTCGTCAACGTAAACCAGAACAAAGATCGGGGTCGACCCACGGTGGACGAACAGCGACGGGTTAGCAGAGGACGGAAATAAGTCAAGCGCTGCAAGAGTCGTGCGAAGTGTGTCGTGCCACTCACGGGGCGCCTGGTGCAGGCTGTAGACCGGTCGACGCAACTGCCACTGAGTCCCGGGAGGGAAAGAGCTAGTGGAGCCAGGCGGACGACGGAGCCAGATCTGCTCGTGCAGGCTCTCCTGTAGGAACGCTGTGGTGAAGTCCAAGGAGTGCAACTCGTAGTCGTGCTGAGCTGCGATAAGCAGCAACACCCGAAGAGTGGTCATCTTTGGGGTGGGAGCGAAGGTCTGGAAGAAGTCTACCCCCTCGCGCTGACTTAAGCCTCTCGCCACATAGCGCGCCTTGAACACCGGTGGTGATCCAGGCGGCCGCTTCACCTTGTAGAGCCACATGCCACTGACGACGTTCGTCCTAGGTGGTGGGACGGCGTCGACGTAGGTGCCTGTGGACCTATAAGATGCCATCTCTGCCTCCTCGGTGGGAAAAGGTAAAGCCATCGACAGTGGTAACAAGAGCCGAGATAGACAACGGGGGGGCAGTCGGGCAAGTGACAAATGCGGACAAAACATGGGAGACGACAGGACGGGAGGCACGGAGGTAGTCGAACAACGGGTC